TAGAAATATTGAAGAATACTCAGGCTGAAATGAAGAAGGAAGTGAAACACTCAGTAAGCCAATTAGAAATGACAGATGAAAGCCTCACTAATAGGATGAATGAAATAGAAAACAGAATATCAAGACTGGAAGATAAAGAGGACGAACTGGACCACTCAAGCAAAGATTATGAAAAATTTAAGAAATCACAAGAATGGAATATGCAGGAATTGAGTGATACCATAAAAAGACCAAACTTGCGAATCATAGGCATACAGGAAGGAGAAGAATCCCAAGACAATGGCATGGACCAGATCTTCAACAGAATTGTGGAAGAAAATTTCCCAAACTTAAAGAAAGACATGCCCATACAAATACAAGAAGCATACAGAACACCAAACAGACAGGACCAGAACAGGAACTCTCCACGGCTCATTGTAGTAAAAACACTACACGCACAAAACAAAGAGAAAATTCTGAAAGCTGCAAAAGAGAAACAATAAGTCACATATAAAGGAAAACCCATTAGGATCACAGCTGACTTTTCAATGCAAACTATGAAAGCCAGAAGAGCCTGGACCAAAGTATTCCCAGTGTTAAATGACTACAGATGCCAACTCAGATTACTATATCCAGCCAAAATGTCTATTATAGTTGAAGGGGAAAGAAAAAGCTTCCATGACATAAATAGGCTGAAGGAATTCTTGTCCACAAAACCAGCCCTTCAGAGAGTTCTGGGAGCAATACAAAGATCTGAAGAAAGGAATGACTATACCCAAGGCATTGCAGAAAGAATTCCAACAAGGGTATAACAGGGTAAAAGTACAGCTATAGCAAGAATGTAAAAAAATACTTCAGGACTTCAAGACCCAAATTAATTTCAACTCATTAATAGTAGGGGACTTCAATACCCCACTTTCTCCATTAGATAGGTCAACAGGGCAGAGAGTCAACAGAGAGACATCTGAATTAAACAATACCTTATATCAAATGAACTTAACAGACATCTACCAAGTATTCCACCAAAGCACCAAAGGACATTCTTTCTACTCAGCACCCCATGGAACCTCCTCCAAAATCGACCATATACTGGAGCACAAAACAAACCTCAAGAAACACAAAAAGATTGAAATACTTCCATGCATTCTATTAGACCACAATGCAATAAAGCTTACAATCAAGACCTGAAGAAGCCTTAATCACCACATGAACACATGGAGATTAAACAACACACTCCTGAATGATGAATGGGTCAAAAGAGAAATTCAGAAAGAAATAAAAGTATTCCTGGAACTAAATGTAAAGGACAATACAACACAACAAAACCTTTGGGAAACACTGAAAGTGGTTCTTAGAGGGATGTTTATAGCTCTAAGGGCCTACATCAAAAAATGGGAAAGAACACAAATAAATGACTTAACACTGCAACTCAACACACTTGAAA